GGGATTTTCGCCAACAGCAGGGCCTTATACCCAGGCGTATCACTGTACGCTTCAATCTGTTTTCTACATAACCAATAAGGAAACCAAGCAAATACTTTTGTACTACGTGAAATTATTAAATCCTCCGACCGCACTATAATAATGTCATAATGTCGAATAAATTAGAAAACCAATTTACCAGACTTTAAGGACAACAACAATATTAATGAAAACTGTTATTATGTATTGTGATTGGAGACGTTTTGCGGCCCATCCGAATAATTGTAAGCAAAATAATAATTGACGAACGCCGAAAACGAAGTTATTTTAGCTAAAAGTCACGATAAATTAATAATACAGCAAAGTAAAGCTTTCGTTCAGTCATAATTATTATAGTTATTTTTGTTCGATGTCCACAGCAAGACCATAAGAAAACATAACATCTTAGGTTTAAAGCCATCATGCGTCAACGATGAGTATAATTTGCATAAAGAAATAATACCCGGTAGTCTTCGAAATATAATTATGTCGGACAGCCGTGAATAATTCGCAACATTATACCCAAAGTTTAAGCTGATTTAATATTACTATTACGTCTTAAGTTCAACCAACATTCACTTACAGCTATCTGTAGAAATTGAGTTGACTACATAAATTGCCGAAAATCTTTGTTTTATTAATATTAACGTTCTTCTTACTGATATTATTTACTTATGCATAACAATTGGTCCAACAATTATAGTACAATTAATTAAATAATAATTGGTGACGTTTATTTTTGTGTCTCCTGAAAAATAATACACAAATCTAATACTATAAATAATATCAGTACAATTTAATTTAATGTAATCATATAAATACTAAAATACTAGCAATGTAACCAAAAAATTCTTGTACTAATGGCCTAGTTGTCGATGTATATTTCAGATCAATAAAAAAAAAAATAATAATAATAATAATAATAATTAAACTATTTATATTTTATTGAGACAAATAACTCTAGGCAAAGTCTTATTAAACATACAGTTAAATAATTGTTTTGTGTCATACATTCAAGAGTATTGTAATATTTTTATGTTTAAGATATCCTAATCTAACCATTATGACAAATAAAACTCCATGTTCGTACATTATAAATGTGATTAATCATTTTTAAAGAATATGTATTGAATAATTTCAATTTTAAATAATAACTTAAATAATTTAATTTCTAACATTTTATTTGGCTTTTCAAAGGTTTAGAATTTTATAATTAAAAAATCAACATGGACATGATATCTAATACCCAACTACTATAAAATTGTTTGCTATTACAGTGTACTTATTATGAATTATGACAATTCTATAATTATTACAATTTTCTCAATAATACCTTATACATTTTTCTGAAAGGAAATACGAATGTTGACTTTTCTTTTAATCGTTTCATATCTGATAAGAATATATTAATCCGATTTAAACATGTATGTATTAGTATAATAATTATTGAGTTCTAGTTTACAGTTATTAAGTGTCAATTGTATGAGTATTCATAAGTTCATAACTGTTTTTGTTAATGAATATTTTTTGTCCTAAGCTCTATTACAAATTTAGAACTAAATTATCACAGTTTGATCAACAAATACTGTATGGCCGATATTGTTTTTGTTTCTAACTTGGTGACAACTAAATCATTTAATTAATTCCATTACTTTTTTATTCATATTTGCGTTATCTGATAGGTTTTCATTAGAGACTTAGTAAAGAAAAAAAATGATAACCATGTACAAGCGACTGTCTAATATTCTTGACCTTTACGTTGCAAAACTTGATAATAAAAAAATGTAATTTTTTATTAATTATGAAATAAATGATATTACTACGAATAATTCATTCTCTCCTTTTGGAATTAAAATAAATAAGTCCAACATAATGTCACTATATAAAACAGGTAACGGTTTACAATATAATATATTGTATAATATTTAGTATACCTAAATTTCTTTAAAATAAGTAAACGTTGTAACTTTATCGTAGTAACCTAAGGTAAAAATGTATGTTTATATTATTATTATTATCATAGTGTAAAGATTTCACATTCCCGCAAGAAAAACGTACACATTTTTCTTATTTATTGTTGTCTCTGTGTGGAATTGATAATCATCAAGTTATTAGTATGTATCGGATGATTTCATGACAATCATTATGCATCGTCACGATTTACTATTGAGATCGTCATTGCAGGAACGTATTTTTCCTCAATATTATTACAGTAACCGCCTCGTAAAGTCAGCGATAATCACATGGTATGAGATATCGTAATAATAAGCGTAACCTTCGTAATAATAATAGATCATCATAATATGAATTGAGATGTATACAATATGATCGAATTTAAAGTTGATAAAATGTACATTAAATTGTGTACATAATGGGGTCACGTGCCATGCGGTTGTAACGGTGTACTGTCAAAGCACATTTTTACCTTTCAGACGACGGAATCGAAGATAAGCCCCGGCGGGCGGCGGCTAATATTTCAATAATAATATATGCATCGATGTATATTGTGTTATATTATAGACACATTGAGAAAAAACTTAAATACATTTCCCACACATCAAACAATATCTGTAACGTCTAGACCTTTGTGAACAATACTGATATAATTTCGCAGTACGATGCTTAAAATAATAACAAACATATTTTATACTTTTATACGATAAAATTACACGCGTTTTCTAGATAAAATAAAAACGTGGGATTTAATAATCGAGTCTTGAACCATTCGTATAGTATTAAACAGGGTACAACAGAAATACCTGATAAATGAAATAACTTTGGTTCTAATCAATATTTATTATTATTTTTTTTATTACATATAATTTATTGGCTCTTGTGCTACACATATATATTGTATAACAATTTATTTCATATTTTTAAAAAAATTGAAAATAACCAAAGAATTTAGACTATAAAAATATGTATTTAAGTCTTGTAGATTATTTTTATGCTTTTTTAAAATTTTAAAATTTTTTGAAGGAACTCATTTAAATAATAACTTTTTAATAACACATTACTTACTCAAAACTTCTATAAAAATGTTTTAAAAAAGTTTAAATTGCTAATGTTTTTTTATGACTGGATGAACATTACTTAACAGAGATAATTAGATTTGAAAAAATCGTAAAAAATAAACAAGATAACTAAAATAAATGTTTTTACAATCAAAATGTTTCTGAAACTCAGAAAAAAAGTTGTTTCATTTATCAGGCCTTCCTGTTGCACTCTATATAATATACTACTGCGTGTTTATATATTGTACCTCGTTATGGATAACTAGTAAATTAAAATGATTTAAAAACATGATAGATACTTTTTTTCACAACAGAGTGTACACGATTTGAGAATAATTTTGTTCGATGAACAAAATTTGAGGTGTGATTGCAAATTGTGATATGATAAAAATTTTAGATTTAAATTATGTAAAGNGTCTGTATCGCTCAAGACACGATACGACTGTCGTCAATGTTCCAGTCCTATACATTGATCGCACATTCCAAGTTCCAATACATAAATCCGTAATCTCCACGTTCCGAGGCAATATTAATCGTTGTTTCGTAATCATATTGTTTTGCGTGTAAGGTGATTGGCCTTACGACAACCTCCTCTTGGAGGGTCTGATTACTCCAACCAATTAAGGTCAGAGTAAGGATGGAGTGAACCAACTAACTAAAGTAAGTTCAGTCCACAGCTCGGGGCCCCGGGTTCGCCACACCCGTAGTGCTAATTGCTTAATATTAAATTGCTTAAATTATTTTTTTAGTGTAATAATTATCGTTGAAAATATTACGAATGTGTTATTAATATTATTACTTTAATTCATCTTGGAATAATTAATGCTTACTTGGTTATTCACAATGAGGTTAATCTCATTTTTATTTTCTAACTGTTTTCCAAGTAGATTTCCATTATAGTTAGTTGAAATCAAAAGTATTATTTGAAGATTTTTTTTATTTTGGGGGAAAAAAACGATTTAATTTTTATCGAAATTTAAAGCTTTATAAAGTATGCGTATATTACAGAATCATATTATACTACAATATTCACGTACGTGGCTATCATGTTTGTGATTTAAAGTTTCTGAAAAAAATGTAATGTAGAACAACTTTTTAATAAGAACCTTTTTTTATATATATAATATAATATCCAATTTCTTTTATTATTAATTCTAGAGGGTTTTTATTTCATAAATGCAAAGACTTTTACAATAATTTTTAAATATAAAGAATAAAGATACAAGGTGATCGAGCGAGTACCCATCTAATTGTAAAATTTGACCCAATTTCAATTATTTCCAATAGACTTATTTTATGAACCATTATAGAAATATTGAAAATATTATTTCAATAAAATATAGATAATTAAATTCATTTGATTATTATAAAATACATTTTATACATAATTTCTGCATCAGATATTATTAGGTATACTATTTGTTTTTTCAAAAGTGTCATTTAAAGTGTTTTTATTAATGCTCATTTAAAAACACAGTGCATGGTAATAGAAAAATAATAGTTCTCGCAAGAACATAAACTGTTATACTTCCTATATTTAAATGTTATTCATAATACTATTTCAAATGTAATGTTATTTTACCACTAAAAGTATTTTTAAAGGAAACGTCTCCATACTTAAATATTTTCTTAAATAGAGGCATGATATAAAATATAAGCAAAACTGCCAGCGAGATTACTGTTAATTATAATATAATGTTTGAAGTACTTTTTAAAGTTTTAATAAAATATAAATATCAACCAAGTTAACTTATGATTATTTTAGTTGAAAATAATTATATTTATATATTTTATGAGAAACATAATATTTAATATGTATATTTGATTTTTATCTCGTAATATTAAAATTATCTTCGGTTTGATATAATTTATACGTTATACCAGTACCTAACAGCTATCTTTTATACATATTCATTAATATTATTATAACCTTTCGCATTAATGTCTTAACTGCTGTATTTTTACTAGAGTGCTGCTGTCTTGGCTGTGACCAACGTTTCTCAATATATGGACGATACAGCTATTAGAAGAATGGTACTGCCCAAACTCAAAATGGTGTACGAAACCAATCCCAACGATTTGAAAATTGTCTTGAATATATTGGCGTGCCTGGAAATCATATTACACCGGCTTGAGAAACAACAAATCATCGAAGATGTATTACCACTAATTTGGATAGTAAACCAGACAGATCCCGAAGTGATAGCAAGAATAGCAGGTAACACAAATAATTATATTATCATTGATAAATTATCTGATCTAAATCACAACCATGCAACTATCACCACTATGTTTATTATTGAATTTCATACACACTGCTATTTTATATTTAATGATTTTATAGTTTATACTAATGAATTAATAATATTAGTAATATTACTATAATATTGTGTTTTCAATAAAATAATTATGATTATTATTACACGGCGTGTTAGGTAGGCAATTTATGAACATCCCCGTTGGAGAAAAATTGTTATGTCTTTAAAAACGGATATCTTGATACTTCAATGAAGCGGAGGTTTATTGATGCTTCTAGGGCTAGCTAATATTATGGACTATTAACTTTGGCTGTAGACTGTAGTTATTATAGTTACAAAAATATCATTAGTTCTTAAACAGTGGATGAGAAGGAAGAAATCATACATCTGTCATAAACATTGGCCACCAGAATCGTGTTGGCAAATAATACAATACAGCACCGTGACGCTCGTACATTATTATAATTATTCATATACAAATTATATACAAGGTGTAACATATGTTTTCTGCACAAAGACTTCAAACTGACACTGAATTGTTTTAATCAATATTCTACAAACATTGTTTTTATGTATATATATATATATATTATAATTTATAGACGTTTGCATTAACAGTATAGGAAAACATTTTTTTTTTTTATTATTTATGAAAATTTTAAATTTTAAATTGTATTCAAGCTTTTTTGGTAAATGTTGATGGTAGGTAAAAATATTTGTCTGAGAAAAGTAGTTCATTCTTACAATTTTTTTAAATATAAATATTTTTTGAAACATAATCACTTTTTTCAAAATGTGATTTTTCTGAATTTTCTGACATAAATCTATTTATTATCTTGGTAATTTCCATATTTTTTTCATACGTTTAACTAGTATCAATTTGTATTTAAATTTATTTTATTGGTATATAGCTCTTTTAAATCAAAACTATAGAACTATGCTCTTAGATATTATAGTTTTCATAACTCTTAATAAATAGTTTTATGATGGCTTGCGCATAATTTGTCAAATAGGTATGATACTTATTTATATTCCACATGTATAACACACTGGTAATAATTATGTTATCCTTATACATATTATATAATTTTCTTCTAAATCCTATGATCTTGAAAATTGTATTGTTGTTTTTAATAGAGCTGCGTTGTCGAGTAAATTCTAAGACAAAGTATAGTAATTAAATTATACACTATTCTTAAGAAAACGAACTCGTTTTTCTTTTTTGGTATTAATGACTTTATAAATTGATGTTGAAAGCTAATGCCACCGAGATCGGAACAAATATAAACGATTTTTTTTCTGAATAAAGAATAATTACAACGGGCAGTTCTTATTCATCCTAATCTGAACTATCCAGTGCAATGTTTCACTGTCAGTTTATTTTCCGAGTTAATTCTGCTTTAAAAATTATAAAATACTGTAAGTGACTAAGCAAAAAAATAAAAAAAAATAGAAATAATAATAATAAAAATATTAAAAATATGTTTTATTATCAAATAATGTTCAAACATAGCAAGTTCTTTAAATAAACTTAAAATACACATAATCGTAAATTTGCTTTATTAGTATACATTTTTGAATCTATGAAAATATCTTTAAATATTCTTATCGATTGCACATAAGAAATACCCTTTCTAATACTATAAATTATTATCTACTCAAATAGAAAACTTGTTTTATCTAACACTTATTCCACAATCAAATTTACGAAACTATTTTTGATTTACAGTTTGTTATTTTCCACCCTTTTCATAATAGTATACTATATGATATAGATTTAACTTAAAATGTGATTCAGTAACATTATGTATCATAGCTATAAACGATATGTTTACTTAACCTATAACGAGATACGAAAGGTACAAACATTTTTATTTTTAATATTTTGAAGCGAACTGCGTACGTATAGTAATAGGCACTTGAATCAATTAAAGTTCAATGTAGTTGGTAGCAATAGAGTGGTTACATTTTGACATGTTACTTTCATATCTCACATTCCTGTCTTTCTGCTTTAGACTTGGTTTATTATTATCTAGTTTATTCTACGTCAGTTGGTTCTTCCTGTGAAGATATACCATTATCAATATTGTTCCACAACATTTCGGAATGTTTCCTGTCACATTATCTCGCTATAACGTACAAATCGTGTTAACATCGAAATAATAGTATGAACACTGTACGAATATAACTAATATAGCTACCCTTACTTACTTACGAAATAAAATAAAATCAATATAAAATTGAAATTTGCAGTTTATTGTGTAATTTGTAGCTCTCGAAACAAAAAACTACAATAATATAATATAAATTATATAACATTGCATTTTTTATATAATTTATTTTTTGTATATTATAGTGACCTAGTTATAAGTTCCAATATCGGATAGGTACATCTGCAGCGTATTAAACACACAGGGTTTATAATTTTAACAACATGGCATACGAAATATTATACAGAAATTATTAACGAGAACAATATAAAATGATGCGTATAACACTTCAAAAAATATGGATTATTATTATTTAGAGTGAACGTATAGAAAAAAAATATATACACATAATATAAATATGCCTCGTGATTTTAATCTCAACTACTCAACCCAATTCCATTTTATTGATTTTAAATATTTTGTTTCACGGATAACCCACAGTATAACTCTTATAACTGCATTTCATGCAAATGTAAATAATAAAAGCCTTTCATATTTTTCAGTTATATACAGTATAATTTTGCGTGACAAGAAATACGGCCTATCAGTAAATATGATAGCAACGAAAATAATGCCAACTCTGATTCCACATACAATGAATCCGGGTTTGAATTTAGAACAGTTCCAAACCCTTATTGAAGTTCTACAAGACATGCTCGAACAGATTGACAGGTGAATAATTAATATTATTATTATTATCCATGCATTTCGTAGCTACTAGTCAAGATATATATATTTAAATGTGCGAGTTATTACAATATAATGTATATATAAAACTATTTTAATTGAACTATTTAAAAAAGGTCTATAATTCAATATTTTAAACCAACAATTTGAACCAAATTAAAATTATTTTCTCCTTAGTTTTTGGCCTTTCTTTTAATCTGTTTTATTACTATACTTATGCATTTATGTTACATGTGCAACTTTATGAGCTTTAAACATGAAATACAATAACAATTGTTTTTAGAAACCAACGGAATAAACTGAAATTGGATACAATATCAATGCAGAGTCCAGACAGACACAGGCCTTTAAGACATTTATACAGTTCTGACAACATGCATGCACAAAACTTCAACATACCAAACTTGAAAGTTGAAACACGCAAAACGTCAAGTGCGGAAGATATGGTTAGAAAAAATTCAGCGGGTAAGTTATATCAATAAATAAAAAATTATATCAGTTGTATGAAAAAAAAAATTAATAAAAGCAGTGATTGTTGACTAGGCTCCTATTATAATAGTTTTTACAACATAATTTTTCTCTCTTGTTTACGTTTTCATATAACACACAAATAATAGAAAGTCGAATAAGAAAATGTCAAGTGAAACAAAATTATATCAAATTTACTCTCGACGAAAAATCCATTAAGTTGGGAGGACGTCTGGTTTAATAATTGCAACGTGATAGTGTGCTAACACATTGAATCTCGTTTCCTTAACGACAAACCAAGTTGTTCTAGAAAATTGCCAACCATTTTCCGCATCCATCAAATACTTAAATTAATTTTCTTTTTCTCCTTCTTTTATTGGCTGTAAAAATGTGATCCTCGTAATATTTTTAGAGCTGATCAGATTATCTGTTTAGATAGTCTAGACTCAATGGTATCACATTATCACAATATCATAGTGAAATCTTTCTTAAAATAGATAGAGGTCGGATTCATTATGCCTCATAGTCATAATATGACAAAACAGGCCTGTGTAGGAACTAGGAAGGATACTATTCTTTAAGGCATGAGATATTATTTTTTTTACTTTACTCAGAAGCAAAAAATGTTACTGAGAAAACTGAAAATAACTCAGCTTGGATATTTTTTATTTTTTTACTTACCTTTTTCTCCTTGATGTTGTGTATTAGGTTAAACCTTTAATAATAAAAAAGAATATATTATTTCATAATCGGCAAGATATCGTATGACATTTACACACCGATAATATTTTACCGGTGAAATGATTTAATAATAAGGTTCGGATACACTGCTTGGTTTTGATAGTTAAAACTATTTGGGTATATCGCCATGATAAGTTCATAAAAATGTTTATATTTCTAAGTTTTGACTCGTTTTCTGGTTAATTGCTTATTTTTAAGGGTGCAAAAGAATTTCACCGTCGCGCGCCAGTGCCTTTTTAAAAATTAAACTCAATCTCTATGAATATTTTACATTTTAAAAACAAAAATAAAAATTCTACGATGATTATTTTAATTTTGATGATAAAATGCATAATTTAGAATAACAATTTAGTATAACCACAAGTACGCAGTTTACAGTACTATTCAAAATGAGTTAGCTTAATATGAATAATTTTAAAATATTCAATTGTATTTTAAGGTTGAACCTATACACGACACAAATACATGGGTACTTATGTTATTTGTATGATTATATTATACTATTGTTTAAGTGAACATATAGATTTGACCGGATATTATGTTGTAGTATAATCGATTCTTTTTCTTTGTTTCTTTAATGTAACAAATCATCGATTGTTGTTCATCGATATTTTTTATTTACATATTTTTATCATCAACAACAAATTTGTGAACCCATAAAATTCAGTTCGATATTAAAAACACTTTTAAATTAGTTGGTGGTGCTCAATTTTATTTATAAATGTAATAATTAAAGTATTAACGTTTATGGTTGGAGGTGTGAGGATTCCTTGTAGTATTTTTGGGAGTTGATGTGTGTTTGTGCCATATCGTTTGACATATAGTTGGCATTCAAGAAGACATATTATGTGTTTGACTGTAATGAGCGTAACACAAGCTGAGAATAGAGGTAGATCTTCGTTTTCCCGTAATTTTTGTACGACTGTACAACTTGACTAACCTGGAAGTCTGGTTTAATCAAAGGTCGGTAATATAACTTCGGATTCTGTGAATATTATGACTGGAGTGGGTCACAGTAGAATTTACTGCTAGATCTCTCAAAGTCTATTTTTTTATAAATTAAACTATCGGTTCTGTCGTTCAACTCGACGTTGTGATTATTATTGTAGTCTAATATACAGGGCCACAATTCTAAACCAACATGGATAACTGTAGCTTTTTGTCAGCTTTTTCATTACCTATTATTCTCAAATGCTCAGGAACCGATTCAAAAAGTATTCTATTTATACGAACATTTAGTTCGTGGATTATTTGAAAGATAATTAATTACAATGGTTTTAATTGTGTATGAAAATGATATAGTGCTTGGAAAATTATTAAACATAATTAAACATTTTTTATTCTCGTTGACATGAATACTTTGGATGGCTTTGAATATTTCTAAGGATTCTACTATGAAAATACTATTTACACACTATTTAGTTGAAATTTAATATTCCTATCTTTTTAAATCACAGCTAGACTTAATTTTTAATGCATGTATACATGTTTTTAATTCGGATATAAGTGAAGTAAATAGTAATTAATGAAAAAAGCTTTTATAAATGTTTTTATAAATGGTATTTTTGTTACGCGAAAATAAGTCAATTAGATATTTTAATCACCGAAGAAGGATTTATTTAATTCAGTGTTTTGGATTATGTTTTGATTTGTGATTACGTTGCTCAAAATAAACCCGTCTTACGTAGGTAGTGCAAAACAAGATAAGCTCAAGTGATTTTCTTTAGTTAGTTTTAATAATTTTATTATAAACTAGATTTTTTAGTTTTTTTATGTACCTATTTAGTATGTATTAAACAAATATGTACTTGAATTCCAACAATTTCATTCTCAATAGGCTATGTGGCTTATCAGCTATTATATGTATGCTTGATACAGGACTACTTTTTAAGACTGTTAAACCTCATAAAAAAATACAAATATTTTGTACTATATAGTATATTTAAAATATTTTATATTGTTATATTACACTTATATAATTGTATGTTTAGCTGATCCAATGCCTATATTACAGATCCGTACCTAATCAATTTATTATTTTATGACAGCTTATATTATATTTGTTTTGAGGTTTCAAAATTAGATTACCATTCAGTAACAACTAGTTTTTATTTAATATTTTCATAACTTTTTTGAGTTTCCAGTTTTTTATTGATTAATAATATGTGGGTACCAGTTAAGATTTAAATTAAAACTTATGGAACCTAATGAAAATTAAGACTAAGATCTCAACATAGGTAATCGCTATTGTGATGTTATTTAATTTAATTTTTTTCATGGTGGTTGTATAACACTATAAAATACATTTAAAAATACATTTAGATGTATTAAGTGAATAATATAAAGCTAAAAAGCAGTTGTTGGTTGATTGAGATGAGAAATAATGTTAAGCAGATTAAGGAGTATGGAACTATACCTACATAATGTTGGATTAGTATATTATATTATACTCGTTATTTCAATCCTTCAAACCCACTCGTAGGTACTTTACCCCATTGTATTATATGAGGAAGCATCACATACTCACATCTACGTCATATCTTGTACGTAATCCTAATGGAATTTTGTACCTAGAATCAGATATTATTATTATTATCTAAATTAAAATTATCAGTGTCCGGCAATAGCCGCCTATGTCAACAGCAAGATAAATAATGTTTCAAATTTTCTATATGAAAGAATTTAAACCATGAATGTCAACAAACATGTCACTCTCGCATAGTATTTGCTCTTGTTTACTAGCGTTTAACATTATTATTTGTATATATTTAAGCCGGAAATTGCAGTAAAAATGGAATTTGATTTTAGACTTAAGTAGGTAATAATTGTATTTAGTGTCAACGTAGGATATCCATAGTCGTCGAAGCAAAAAAAAAGAACAATGATTATTATTCTAATAAAGACAACCACCGTTTTTCGTTTCCGTGTCCAACAGGTAGCTGGTGGTTTGGCGGTTCGCCTTCCGGTTCCGACAGCAACTTCTTGCGCGTAGTCAGTTCGTTTCCGAATCGCCGGCTGTCTGACAACATGTTGAACACTCCGAAAATCCGCGTGGCCCCGTCATGTGCCTCTTCGCCCGGAAGCACACCGGTCGGCACCGGTCTGCCAATCAGGAGACACTCGAACGTCGAGCGCCGCGGGTCCACCATCAACCTGTCACCGCCATCGGTAATTATTACTGTCATTTTCATTATTATTAGTAGATAGTAGTTGTAGTAGTAGAAGTAGAAAATTGATATTATATAAATCATATAATTATTGTATTCAACGCGAGACGATAATATTATGACATTATTACTATTTTTATTATCAAAAACGACAACAAAAATGTGTAGACATATATAGTGCGCGTTTCACCACACGTTACTATGCAGTACATCATCACCATCATCATCATCGTCATATTATTATGTCATTAGTTTTATTACATAATTATTATGTTACTGTTATATTATATATTATTATCACTTGTTTGTATTTATTTCCATTTTGTTCAAGTCGCTTGTCGTTGCATTTTATATAAAAATATATATGGTATACATGTGGGCACTGTATAGAATGACGGGCCGTCGTAATATACAAACGAACCAATAACGCTGTGAGTTATTACTCTACATGTTATATTTTGCTGGCCTCAAATGTTTTTTTCTCTCCAGAAAATGATGATATTATTTTGATGTGATATTATTATCGGCGTCATGACATTTTTCGTTTTTGGTGACGAGCTTGCTGTGGATGATATGTGATTATATGTGTCAGGCGAGCTTTTAAATTGATTTTTTGCGCAGGGCTATCAGTACTTCAGACCGATTAACGGACACGATGGGTCCACATTGTCGGTGCCATCATCGACTTATGTAAGTCATTAAAACAAATGAGAAAGCCGATGAGTGTTGCATTGAACGGTGTCCGCTGTCAGTGTATACTTTATTTTGAACGCCAAGCCTATAAATGCGTTCGCTCAGCATGATTAAAATTAATATTTCTATTTTATAATTTATTTAATTTATATATTATAATATAATGAAGGTGACGCGAAATTGAGATAAATGGTGGATGATCTATTTCTTATACCATTGTTCGTATAATAATATGATGCCCTCATACTCTGGCCATCATCAAAATAAATAAAACTACAAATTAGAAACTGTGTACCTATAATAGGTTGTGAGCATACTTATATATTAATTACTAGAGTGTTGTTTTAAATTCTCTAAATCAATCAACATACCTTACAAAAATTATATTTAATGTGGGTACTAATAATATTCCAAAATATTAAAAAATAAACTTTAAGTTGTTTTTTCAACATTAATTCCATACATTTTAATAAAAAAATAATATTAAAAATAATCAGTTCGTATTGTTAAAATTATATAATTATGCATGTTTTGGTTTTGAAGCAATTCATAAATAAAATTACCGGTCTGTTTATTATATAATACGCAATATGCCTGCATGTGACAAAAATTTCGTTTGTCAGACCGTTGTTTCTGGTACATAGGTGAAATGCATAATAACTAATACAAATAAAATGAATATATAAATTATGTTTAACTTTTTTCAAATACATTATTTGTTACATTTGATCGTAGAAAAATTGAAAACGAGACATTTCAACTGAATTCTAATCAAATTGAATTCATTCCTTAACTTTTTTTAAAAAAATTTCTACATAATTCCGAAGAAATTCAAAATAAAAGCTTCATTTTAAGTTGAACACATATGTGCTTGGAAATCAATGTTTTAGGATGTTAAACAAAAAAATTTAATTTGCATTAAATGCAAGCTCTATTCATTATGTCTACCCACATTTAAATTATTAATTATTTCACTTTGAAGAGAAAAACAATAAATTATCGACTACACATTATTAAAAAAAAAAGATATAGAACAGTATATTTTCATTCACCGAAAAATATAATGACGAGAATAATTATTCATAAATTAAATAATTATTTTCTTATGGCAAACACAATTTTACTTTTAAATGTAATTTTGAATAGATTATTCCAAAAACAATTCGATGCAAAAATATTCATTTTGAACCACAATATTATTATATTTTGTCATTAAAATAAAATATACAATAAGTATACAACGTAAGTCATAAATACTAGTTATATCATCCGCCATTTAACTTAATTAAACGGAGAATAGAATGCTGAAGAATTTATATTCTAACACTATTTTGATATGCCACACTGTTCACTTAAAGAATAATCCACGATGGGTCGTTTATTGTTCTTTTGTTTTACTATTGTTTTTTTTTTTTTTTTGGTTTTTCGCTTTTGATGTTAGTTAGAACTTACCGGTAATAAGTACGTACAACTTGATAACACTGATTGTTTTCTACTTTTATTCAATATATATATATATATGTACTGCTTTTTAGCCAGTTGTACGTACTAAGAAATAAATAGTAATTTTTCATTGGAGTTCAATGATTACGTCGGAAGAAATGAAATTACATCATTTATAAAAGATATTTTCAAGAAAATAACATAATACACCTGGTGAAACATTCAAGAACTATCGTGTTTTGAAGAAATGTTTTCCTATTGTATTTGTGGTCTTTTCATTTAAAAAGTGACAAGTTCCTTTAAATATCATTGCTTTGTATTGATTTTTATATTATTGGTAAGAAGCTTTTTGCGCTTATCATTATACATATTTAACTTTATTGTTTTATATAATTTAAAATGTATACCTATTGGCCAATATTTAATACATACGAGTACATTGTTATTCGAATCTATAATACTTTGTCCACACATTCACGATTCATATGATAAACTATGATTACGTGTGAAGTACAAATATTAAATTTTAAAATCAGCTTACTTAGAATAGTATTTCATAGTGTATCCCATTTTACTGAAACATGAAATAATAATAATTGTGTATTTAATGTGTTATATATTTAAATAGCCTTGTATGGCGTATACAATACAATTAATTTCATTCAGTTATTATAACATTATTACAATTATTATTCATAGTTCTATAAATAAATTCCCTGGTACGTTTACATTCTTTAATTAAACTAATTAATTTTTGTGACTAACATTTAAAAAGTTTTCTTTGAGTCTGTCAATCATATACACCAGAAACATATTATTATTAAAACGTTAAAATAACGACACCTTATCCGTCATATTATGCTCACTCTGGTAACAGAACTTAATTAACGAATGTAAGCAATTTAGTTAACATGATAATCAACAGCTTGCAGCGTTACAGGTTCTTATAGCGGTTCATAACGTTCAAATTGCAATAATTAAATACACTACAAAGAAATGTATTATTGTGTATTATTTAAATTATTATTTGATCATCAATAATGTTAATCACCATTCATTCGTAGATGGGTGTATTCTAGATTTAATTAAAAATTATATTTTGACTTGTAATAATTAAATAATATTACATTTGTTTCATATTTCAATTTTTTTATGAAATCCAAATTTTTTTATAAAACAAGAATAGTTGGTAAATAGGTAGTGGTTAATGGTTATTCCTAGAAAATCCAATTAGACGTACAATTATTGTAAATTAAACTAATATCGGTAGATACTATAGTATAATTTAAGCTCAACGTTTATTATTTTATCACTATACCTATACACTATATTATTAATTATTCACTGAACACATTTTATTGAAATATATAATTAAAAAATTAAACATTCTTGCCAAATACTTAGTCTATACTCAGTACTCACTGTTTCAAATAAATATGTTGTTCTTTAAACTTGAACTTTTAATTAAAAATAAGAAGTTAAACATAATAATCTTATACCATGTCATTAAATTGTACATAGATATTACTTATTTAATTTTAAAAAAAATTAATAATTCTTAAAATTTACAGTTGAGTGAATAATAATAATACATATAACTAGTGATGCACGTTAATACATTTTCCATCTAAGTACCTATAATATTTAAACGCTTCTGATTTTTTTATAATATTTCATCATCTTATCTTGAGTTATTTTATTCAATGTTCCAAATGAAAATATGTCTATTAAAATAAGTTAGTTTTAACATTAAATATGTACAATAAAAATTGTTACGTAATAATATTAAACACGCAAACGTTTTTATTTTTATTTATTTTTTTTGCAATGCAATATATCCATTTTATGACAAACTGTTTTATTACATTATTATATCCATACATGCAATAAGTAATGTTCTTTTATACAATTTGACAAACTATTTACGCTATTTCGAGTTTCTTAAGAAAAAAAAATACAGAACTTAGAAAGTCAGTAGACAAATATTTAGTCCCTATTTTAATAACATATTATTATAAGCACCAATGTATTGATATTGCCAGTATGTAACACCGTGTTACACTTTACCAGTAATGTAAAATAATATTATTATTTAATATTATATTTTACAACAAATAGTACTGTGATAAATATTATTTTATCTTAACAATATTAATAATGCTTTTAAATTATTATTACAATTTTGAGTTATTTTTTATATTTTGTTTTATTGTTTGATTGCAACTTACGCGGAGTACAGCTTGCACGGAGCATGATTGTGAGTATTATTAAGTTGATTTTCATTAAAATAATTAAACGCATCACTGAAAAAAGTAATCTGCTTTAAAATAAATTTATGAAATAGTATCTTATTGAAGTCGATGGGTAAATGACTGCAAGTTAGTCGTATAAATGTATAATGAAATATTTATAGCTTCGTATTGACTATTGATTAAGATTATAAATGGAACGGGTACTGTTTGTTTTTACTGTTTTACAGTATGTTTTTCCTGGAAATCCCTTAAAATTTAGTTTTATAAAAGTCAAAAAGTTTAGTGCAAAACCCTCATGGCTTGTAAACAGAATACATACTATGCTACTTAAAAAAAGTTAATTGATTGAATTTCCAGGTTTTTTTTTTTTTTTTGAGAAAATTAAAAGGAAAAAACTATTTATACATCTCTAGCAGAACGAGAGCTGCAAGTGGCAAATTAATAACAACTTAATCACTTTTGAGTAAACTTAGTTCCAGACACTATTGTTAAGTGTAGTTAAATTAAAAATAATAATAATAATAACAATAATACAACACTATTACATGTGCCAAAACAACTTATTTATCGTTAATACATTTTAATTATTATAAAAATATAATATTATACTGTGTATTATTTAATTTCTTTATTCTCAAATAATTTCCAATATCTAAATGATACAATGTACCTGTATAATTCAGCATTTACGATTGCGAATTTTTATTTATCAACTTAAGTAATTTTTAACTGACCTACAGTATTTATATGTAGATAGATGATTATGTACTAGCTATAACGTGCACTTCGTTGCTCGTTAAGTATGCCAAGTAAATATGAGACTCTTTGTGATAATGAGAGCAGTTTATTATCAGGTAGACAATCCACCTGCTGTAAGGATATAGGTGTAGGAGCATACAATAATATATTAGATTTTGATTTGATTTTTTATTTTGATTGAGGACAAGCCGATGAGCGGCTGTACGTGCAACTCAGAAACCTTGAGTTACACACTTGACATTTTGAAAAATCCTTTCTTGGTGCACGGTGAAATTATAATATTAATCTATCTTCAATATTTCAAGTCGATAACTCTAATAGGTTTGGCTCTGCATTGATTATAATACATAATAAGTATATTATAATCATCAAATATTAACATTTCATCTATTCATAGGTTCATTTTTTTTTTTATTAAAATTAGAAGCCTTAGAATTTTTATAGAATCAAAATAAATAAAATATAAAATAAACACAAAATATATAATATATACTGTATTTTTTTAAAAAAAGTACCTAGACAATAATTTAAAAAACCCTTAAAATATCTATGTATAGCCAACTTTATCTTGTAAGTTCATGATAATTTTAAAGTAGTGTCAATGGATGCCATCATCTCTCACGTTATCACATCTCCTTAAATATTTTGATATTTTAAATACAAATGTGATAATTGATTAACTAAATAATTGTAAAACTAATAGTAAGTAACAGGTAGATTTTTTTCTATTATTATCAACTCTTTTGAATAAATTAAGACAGCATAATAACATATAATATGTATATATTTATTGATTGTTAGTTGTAACTGCCAATTATAATATCATATTTTTAATACATATTTTAGAAAAAGGCTTACAGTTTGTAATTTCGATTCATCGCATTGCGGTTAATGCGAAGTAAAGTATTTTATATTTTACCACTATTTAGGCTTTATAATACTAAAACTATAAACTATATATACTGTACATATAAATTATACATAAGAATACAATATTGTAACTATGTACTTAACGTTGTACTCAAAACAATTACACAGTTAAATCATCAAAAATTGCATAATATTATGTAGTTAAAAAAATATGACATTTTTCGAATCATAAATAGTTTTTTATTTATCTTCACAATTATTTTATCATTAGTAAATAGCTACAACTGTGACATTAATTCAAATGTCTTAAACATGAATAGTAAATAAGCTTCCATATAATAATAATATATGTAGGACATTAGGTATGCGTTTATGTGATCCGAATATTATGTAGGTAAGTCAGTAGCTCGTGTGTGGCGTTTAAGTCAAAAAGGTTTTGTGAAAAAGTCTAAACATTAATTTAATATCCTCGGGAATCGGGAAATCCAGAATGTAATGAAATTACCAACACCTAATAACTGATGCCCATAAACCACCGTGGCCCTGTGTAACGGACCTCGAACAATTCGATAACAAAACACAATGTTTAGCCCAGCGGGTTTCCAAGTTATTTACGGGCATAAACGTTCAGTTACCTACAATAATAGTTTTTGCCGGTCTACGATCATTTTTCACACCAAATCGAATTCAATTTAAAGTGACGATTATAAGTGTACTTTTATACATATATTGTGTTATATATATTATATTGTATACCAACCTATGTGTGAATGTGTGATCAATTTATTGTACTGACTTTTAGGATGTTATTCAGATTGAACGAAGAGTCATACGATTTGCATTGGCACCTACGCGTTACTTATCGAAATAGGCTGCAATTGGATCTAAATTAATATTCGTATAATAATATTAATAATTGTATACAACAAATATTACGTAGACGTAATTATTTTCATAAAGCTGATGCCAATAGTTACATTAAATAACTGACACAAATATTAATTATTAAACTTTCGAGAATAATTAAAAATTAATTAATTTTATATGTGCGACTCAATTTATACGGCATATTATTATATTCATATATTATATCCAGGGCTTGCAAACATTATAATAACGTTATGATTATAACGTTATATTTGATAAAAAACGATTGAAATTTGTAAACGTAATTATAACGGAAAACGATAAACGTAAATAAATAAATAACACAAAACAAAACGTAACGTTTAACAAAATATATGATGTATCATTAAACAAAACATAACTTAAAACGGTATATATTGTATTCCATTAAACGAAATAATTAATTCCCAATTATTTAATAATACTTAGTAATATTCAATTATTTATTCATTCCAAGTATTAATTTTATTCCGTATCAGGCCTATCCGGGAGATCCCGTATTAGATATTATTTTAAAACTTAATAAGAAGTTATTAATAGAATAATTTAATTACCAATAGCTAATAATAGTGATACTCTGATAATATTGTACTGTACTATCTGTACTACGGTCGAAATTTATACCACTCAAGTTATACAACTATTGTGTTCGGTGTTCAGTTTGCTCAGATTTATTCACTCGTCAGTGTTTGACTAATTGTTGTCAAATGTTTAATATTTATATTTTATACTAATATACTTATAGTTTTAACGTGCATACGTTTTCTTTATATTAGTTTAACCCATTTAATTAAATAAATAAAATTAAACAATACCTACTTAAAACTCAGAATAGGGAAATAATGTCCCCAAAAAAAGGTCATAGTCGTATACTTTTAAGTTGCGGCCTGTGTACTTTTAAAACAGGTATCTAAATACTTTTAAATTTTAAATAACGATAAACACAAAAGTTGAATAACGTTTAAATTTTGAATAACGATAAACTCAAAATTTGTATAACGTTTTGATAGTAAATAACGTAAAACAAAATTTATTTTTCAAATGCAAGCCCTGATTATATCAATTATGTTTACTCCGCCAAATATTAACAAGCATTAAGAAGGTCAATAATAACTTCAACACAGGCTTAAAATTAAATTTAGAAAAAAATATTATTTTAAATATCGTCCAAATGTCAAATTTCCGTTAAAAAATGTGTTGCATACGTATTGAGTTAGGTTGTAATATTTTAAATGAAGTTCAACTGATTTCTGTTCTAAAAATATTAAACAAATTAATTGCATCAAATACAACTATGCACTGTCGGTTGTCGATATTTCACTGTATTTAATATCGTATTATTATTTAAATGCACACAACTCATTAAACGCCAATTTACGTCTTACTAATCTTAAATATTATTAGCTCTAATTTTACTAATCTTCCAAGTTTTGCATTCATATTATTTGAACTTATATAAATCAAAATAAAGTCAGGCGTGTCCTTGGTGCGGCTGCCTCTTCTCCCAATAATAACAATAATGATCCAAAGTTGCTCCCGAATCAATTTAAATTTCCCTATATTTTCTTATCATACATTTATATGAATTTAAATTGGAAAAGAATAAACGATGGCAAATTTTAATGTTGAAATACTTAAAACACAAAAATAATTTAAACAGTAGATTTTATTATTGAGAGATACAATATTATCGAGCTAAAAAAATAAACAATTAGCATAATATTCATTATTTAAACATTTATATTGCATACCTATATAATAAAATAATTTTGTAACGTCTTTGAGATAGATACATACTTTAAATTGCACATTCAATATAGCGACAAGCTGACAAATATACTAACAAGTTTAAAATATTATATGGAGTAGTAAGATCAATATTTCAAATATTATAAGTGGCAGTGGTGTACATTAAATTTTCTTATGGGATATGATTAAATAATAAACATATATGTTTATCGCAGTGCTTTGGCCGACACAATAAGTTAAAAGACCATATTTAAGATATTCAGAGTTCGTGTAGGTATGTTGTAGTGATGTGTACATTTTACATTCTATGAATTTAGAAACATAATTTTTTCATTTTATTTTTTTCGTCCTTGATGTAGAACAGTTTAACTTACACCCCTTCCCATTTTTACGCCACTGATAAGAAATATTCACCGTTTTTCCATAAATAGATAAAACGTATACCTACACCCAAGATATATCGATTATAAATATTGACATTTTAAATTTTTCATTAAAGACTGCGCCTGACGTTTATGGTCACCTGGTGGTAGGGCAATAATAAATAGTACTACCAAAACATCTACGATATCAATTTTGCTGCTACCTTTTAAAAACTGGATAAAATATTTGAAACGTCGTGGGTTGAAAAATACTTATTTATATTGAGATAGAAGTAAAAATCATTGAGGTAGTTGGTATTGTTATTTATAAATAAAATAAAATATATACAAACAATAAACTCACAATCACAGCTTTTAGACAGTTTAAAATAAACTACCTTTCACTGGAAACAAATCACGTTGACCAACGCGTTCAAAAGGTAAATCACTATGCATCCAATAAATCTTTTTGGTACTAATGTAGGTTATGTTGTATCGTACATCGATTATAAATCACAATTTTCATACTAGGCAGGTATACATTTTCTTAGAACTACTAACATCCAAATATAATTAAAAGTTTTTTATATTTAAAAAAAGTATAGAGTACAGTTAGAATTTAAACAATTATATTGGATTGTGTACTTAATATTAAAATATTTTTATCATTACATTATTAAATAAGAAGGTAAAATATATTATATTATTCTTTTAATGATTTTTGTCTAAAATTTCTTATTGAATTGAATTAACGGAATATTTCGTTTAATATACATTTTAAGATTGACATAAGTATTCGACATGCTTTCCGATAAACATTTTAAAAATGAATTATCTTAGAATTACCTACTATCTTATGAAATTTATTTTTTTTAAAGAAAGTAGAATGCAGTTGGAGTACTTTTCATTGATTTTTGTTGTAATATTATCTCAACAGAATAACGTTCGGCAGGACGTACTAAAGTGTGCCTATGCCTGTGTGTCAGAACATCGGGTACATATTCAAACTAATGATGTTTTGCGCTTTTTAAGGGTGGTAGCATGCCAAACACGAGCAGCAGTGTGCCATACTTGCTCAGCTCCAGTATGAACAGTATCCGGTCCAGGAGGCAAAGTACATGTTCAAATAATTCTAGTACTGGTATTCTGCAGCAACTGGGTTCCGGTGTAGTGAAACAGTTATCCACGTTGCAAAATCCGGTAAGAATGTTACTTTAATATGTTATGTTACTGTGTTCACTGTTATACTTTAAATAATAATATTTCAATATATCTTGCATAAATTGTCAAAAGAAAATATATATTTGAAATGCGTGAAACTGTAATAGGTAGGTACCAACAATAATTCCGATACCGCATGGACATACAATAGGTACTCGATTATATAGTTGTTTATCTACTGAAATTGAATGTATAATATTATATAGTTTTACGTAAGTGTATATTTTTATTTAAGGCACGCAATTTAGTATTTTCGGGTCAGTCTTACAGTGATTAAGATACAGATACAACGATCGTTGGTTTTTATAAAATAAGAATTCGATATGACAACTATCGCACTAATCAGTTTTGAAACGAATACGGAATAACATATTTCCTCAAACACAGTACAGAACCATTAAGAATCGGACGGCCACTGTAAAAAACGATAGTTGACAACCGTTTTTATTCAAGTCTGCAGATTAACAGAATATCATAGTTTCTCGCTCGTGAATAACATAAATCGTAATGTTGACGGTGGTAACCTCGGCCGTTCTATACAGTCTTAAAAATACTAGACTGCTGAATGAAGTATGCCGATTTGACCGTGGATAAATAAATTGGTGACCACGGTCCTGCCGGTCCACGTTGTATACGGTAATATTATACACTACCTACCTAAGCATATTCGCTGGCCAGAGTGAAACAGGCAAATCATACCCCCGAGAATACCTCCAGGTATTCATACCCCCGGGGGTATGATATTCCTAAGTTAATAGTACCCCCGGTAAAAATTTCCTAAGATATCTATTCCTCCCAAAAGTATTACCCCTGGGAACACGAATGAATATCTGAAGGTATCGTATTCTTGTCACACCCCGACAACTGCGAATTTTCCGTTGTCAGTAAGGCTGGATTTCTCCACGCTGTGTATTATTCCACACCGACTACCGAGTATATTCAACTTGCAGATAACGTGTCACCAACATTTTGTTACCTACATGCCAAGTATCAGGAACACGACTGAGTAAAGTTTGTGTAGTTAAAGTGGACAGTTCAACCAGTATAGGTTATGTGATTCGAATATTTTGTTATAAGCTCACATGCATAATATGCCTCTTACCTGTCGAAGAGTTTTTTTTAAAATTAGTATTATGAGGTAAAATGTAAAAAGTGTGGAACATCTGTGATGAAGAAAATGCGGTTTAAACTGGCTTTAAATTGGATACGATCTAATAAATACGGAGAGTTAGTTTGATCACGTTATGAACAAATAAAGTTGTATATATGAAATGGGGCCATGTAGTTATTTGGGTTTCAAAGGTACCTATATATTATTATTTAAAGGCTACAAATTTCAAAAAAGTTTTTTAACACGTTCAATTGACTCGCATTCTGAATTAAAGTGATCGATCTAAATAATAGAACCATTCTCCAAATAGATCTAACTATAGAGCCGAGTAAAAAAATCTTTAAAAGATTTGGGTCTCTAGACTCAGACGACTGGCATTTCATAAAACGTAACGATTTTGAAAATGTACCCACTTCTCACTTTGTATTCGATGCAATTACGGAAACCCAAGTAGTGTGAAATAATCATGTGAAAATGTTTCGCAGACAATACGGAATTCAGTGAATTGTTATCAGCAGTATCAATACATAATATTTTGAATGGGTTCTGAAAGAAAAACATCGAGTGGGATATTTTAATTTTTAAGTATAGATAGTATATAAAATCTCCATTATGGAGGTAATATAAATTCAGCTCCAAATTACATTGTGCTAGCCCATCTTATAAGTCTGTTATATTATTATAATAATTATATCCACACCGAATAGTTAAATTAATATAAACACGTTGCACCACGGTGTTGTCCCCAGAACACGCTACTGTACTCCGCTGGTATAATTGCATTTTATAATGATTTAAAAAAATAATATTAATAATTCAGGGAAAAAATACGATTATCAAATACGTTTAGGTAACACACAGAGTGAGGTGTTCATATTTTATTAGATGGGTAGGTGGGTAGATGTTATTTACCACGTCCGGAAATCGAACGATCCTCTCACTATTACCGCATAGTCGGTTCTATAGAAATTAGGTTATTATTTTGCAGTTGTGTAGGTACTTACTAAAGTTTCTACTTACCTATGGAGGTTATATTATGCAATCTGTGGAGGATATTTACAATGAACTAGATGGGTTTATTTAATAATATATTTTGATGGAGACGCGTTATTCGAATATTTTAAAGTCCAAGTGGCTGAGAAATATATAATATTATTTATATATATATAATTATTCATTTATTGTCATTTCTGTATACACCACGGTTCTATAATGCAATATAATTTGATTTAAATTCAACGTTTATATTGTGTTTTTCGATTAACTTTATAATTATTATTGTTTTAACGATAGGTATCGTATCTTCAAAATGCTCGCAGTGCCCATATCCAAACTAAATATAATTTAATATTTTAATATTTATATACATATTTAATATATTTGTGCTACACGCCAACTCAGTTTAATATGAAAATTGTGTGACTTGTTCCAAAATATGAATCAACCCTATCGTTGAATACCTATTATTATATAATTTTTAAAAAAATAAATATTGTTTACTCGTACCTACGAAAATAAAAAATGTATGCTTAATATTTAATACCAAGTATCTAGGTTTTTAATAATAACTTTGAAAAAATAATTCGATCTATATACAAAACAAAAACACACCGATTTATAACGGGGCAATATATTTGTACTCGCTGGTTCGTTAAAAATTCAACAGTTAATGTATATTATTACACACTCATACAAAATAGTTCATGTTCGTTGGCACGCATCGACGTTTTTAAAAAAAATCTCATGGTTTTATATTCTATTATTATATAGTATAAGACTATACCTGTAATATCACGTTTTTCGGTTTTGTAGGAATTTTAATAGTCAAAAAAGATTTGGGGGAGTTTAATAATTATGATACCTGCCTCTGCAGTAGCATAACTTTATATTTTGCTAGAAAACTTTAATTAACTAAAACTGCTAAAACATAATTGAAAAATATCGAAACAATGTAGGTACTGTTTTTGAAACTATGGACAAATTTAAAAGTAATCGTATTGTTTTTAGAATTTCTATAGTATTCAGCGTCTATATACATTTGCAAAGGTGGGCATTAACTAGTTAAAAAGTTAATTTTTTTTTAACTTTTTAACTTAACTAGTTAGTTTGTTTTCTAATTAACTTATGAACTTAACTAGTTTAATTTACAGTTGAAATAACTTAGCTATTCTCAGTTGATTTAAAAAAAAAAACCAATAAGTTATAAACATTTTGAAATTTTTTGTTTATACGTAAATATTACTATATCAGTATAAAATAAATATAATCCAATACTATAATAACACAAACATTTCTGTACTTTTTCTTGATAACATAATTTTGTGTATATTAATATATTTATTTTATATAGTTTAATTTGATAAATAATAAAAAAGTAAAAGGGTATACAGAGCACATTATGATAAAAGTTAAATCAAATTGATTTATAATTTATAAATTAGAAACTAGAAAGACACATTCACTCTTTATGTTATTTACTTAAAAAAAAAATAGATGAACTTTTTTTAAACTGAGTTAAGTTAATTTTTTTTTCTATATTAACTTTTAACTTATCGAGTTAAGTTTATAATTTGTTAACTGTTAACTTTTAACTTATCGATCTTGTGTCCTCTTAACTTAACTTAACTCGAGTTAATTATTTTCATTAACTTGCCCACCTTTGTACATTTGAACAAGAAAACTATAATTAATATGAATTATTATCGTGACAATAGTTTTTTTAACGCTTATACAATATTATGCCTATTTCTCCGAAATTAGGAAAATAATTTTAGTTATGTTATTTCACCAATATAACAACAATTTCCTAACCTGCTGCTCCCTAGAATTAAAGACTACTGATATAAAGTGTGTTATCACCAAGTACTCGACTTGGAATTCTTCCATACCTCAGACCTTAGTTCCTTTGATTTCAGAAGCGAATCTTGAACAATTCAATTAAACGCGTGTACTCGGGCTCTACTAAGTACTAAGTATGATTAAATCCATTTGTGTGATGATAGCCATCAAAGAATCTGATTATTTATTGATTATTTGAAAACTATGCAGGCAATTAATTGTACCTATTTAGTCAATGCACATACTAACAGGTATAGAAATAATGATATCTGTTACACAACTAAAAAAAAAGATGAATAAAAAAACATTTGATCGTTTTATCATGACCAGAGATGCTCCTGACAGTACTGGAATGGATAATAATAAATCATATTTTGTTTCGTAGCATATATCAATACATTACCTATTTATTAGTGATAGTGATGTCAAGTATCCTGTTTTTTGAAGACGAACCTAACTTTTTGTACATTTTAAGGACTCAAATACCAAACCGAACTCGCAACTTTTTATTCAAACCGGAATCGAAAACTAAATACTATTTACATTTTGTATAGAACCCAAACTTTAAAATAATTTTAAAACATTTAAAGCATGTTGTAGAATGCGGTACGACTTTTGATTTCATCTGTTCGATTTTTAAACCAAACAATTATATCGGTATAATTTAGTTTTGTATAACATAAACTCAACTGAACCGTGTGAATTTGATCAAAAAATTGAACGATTTGTAATAATATTACTAGGTACTTATCATGCCGTTGGTAACAATATTGAGGTTTAGGTATTGTGTAAGAAACATTTTACTATGTGCTATAAAAATATTAATTTACTGTTTTCATTGTTATTTTCAGTACCAACTGTTTAGCGGAAACAAGTGAAAAGTCGTACTCGACTGACCAATAAAGCTGTTATATAACTACATAATATTACTTATTGCTTAAATTTTACTGAACGGTCCGACGTCCCGTTTAAGTCTTGGTTTTATGTACAGCTATTCCGCCAAACACGAAACTGTAAGAGCAATTAATATTTTACATCCATCAGCATCATAATACTACATGCAATACAGTCAGAAATCGTCAACAATTATTATTACTACTATATTATTAATGTCGTAATTTTTAAGTTTCATTATATACATAATTTATTCTTGTTCGTATACAGTGTGATTTGTTTGTTGTTGTTTTTTTCGGTCTCCTCAACGAACCGTATTATAGATTTATTATAATATATTATTATTATTAAATTATAGATAAAACTATACAGTGTGTTCAAGCTAAGGGGTGTCCTAAATATTTCAGCTAGGTGTGACCTTGAATTTAATTGGAGTTTTCTGCAGATGAAGGGAGTATCTAAATAAGAATTTTGCGACAATTTAAAATTTTTAAAAACTTTGTTGAGCACATGCGCAATACAACTCAATATTTTCTAAACAGCAACACCAATTTCTTTTTTTTTTGATTATCTTTTTGTGTACGCAATTTTTCGCAAAGTTTTTATCTAATTTCAAAATTGACAAAATTAAAGTGTACATTTTCGAATAATTTAAAACTGTTACTACAACATTTTTACTTGAATGTTAATTTAACTTGAACTTTTTATTTGTATTTAGATCTAACATAACTTTGAGTCAATTTTGATTTTATAGCCGAAGTTTGATCGAAATTACTTTTAAAAAATATATTGCTGTCAAATATGGTTTCAGAAATAGATGGTTCTTTTTTAAAAATACAGTGTTACTGTGCACGGGAGAGTTAAAAATGAAAAATTGGAAAATGTTTAAATGTTATTCCTATATAAATATAGGTACATCTCTTTTAGCTCATCAAAAAAGTGTTGATTTAATCCAACGTAATGCGGCAAATTTGGCAATGGGTACGTATAATAATAAATTATCACAGCAGTAACTGTTTCGACCAACTACAAGAGAACAACAATTTTTTTCATCCTCATGCCGAAGACTGTCTGAGAGTACTTGCTAACGTTTCTTGTTATACTTATAGAAAATTTATCATATTATTGACCGTTAATAATTGTCATAAATTATTGTTTTTTTAAATATTAACATGACTAGTTATATTATTTAAAGCAATTAACAAATTCCCAATGAAGAATCATCCCCCCTCCCCAAAAGGCTGCTAGAGCCCACTGTATAGTATAAAAGGTACGATTATGTGTAAAGATTCATACTAATTATTTCAATAACTCTTATTTCTTAAGTACCTATAAAATAATCGGTAAATAATTACAATGTTTGAATATTTGATATTATATAATTGTGCATATTATCTTCTAAGAATGAAAAATGACAAAAAAATACGTTTGCATATCCGGTATAAAATGATAAATATCACGATTTATTGGATACTTTTCTTTTGTTTAGTTTTCTTTGTCTCGTTACCATTTTTACGTAGAACGGTATAACCTGCAGACTATCATTTAGTTGTTTACACATATCTTCATTTTAATAATTTAATACTTTTTGCTCAACGCATTTTTCTATCTTGATTATTTAACATAATATTATAGATATCAATTGAAATAATATATTTATACATTCAGATTTCAGATACATGAGCACATTAAGTATCTATCTATATATTATGTATTTATTCGTTTTTAGTCCACTTTTAAATTCAGAACTATTGAAAATAAAAATGACAATCAGTAGCTTATTTTGAAAATCTGTATCTTATCTCGTCGTGTATCTATAGACAATCTAAATTTTATAAATGTGTTAATGTGATAAAACTTAGAAATCATGATAAATTAATATTATATAATATTATTATAGTATCAAGTATAATATTGTTTGTTTAAGTATTTATTTGTGAATCGTTTGAATTATATTTTTGTTTAAAATCATTATTATAATATATTATTATTATTGTAATTATCATTGTTAGTATATATTATTATATTGGTACATAGAACTGATACAAAATTATAACAATAAAACTAATGATAAATTAACGTTATACGTAAATATTTATTTTTGGGTTGAATAAATGACTGGATGTTTTCATTTTTTTTCTATTTGGGCTCTAACTTTAATAGTATTTTCTAATAATTATTATTGAATTTTGAATTTTGAACTAATTTTGATTTATGATAAAAGTAATAGGGAAATATTTATCGTCCCAAAACAATTATTTATTAATTTGTATTGGTTGTACAACGCTAGATAGGTATTTAACGGACTGGTAAATGTAGTATTCTTGTATCTAAAAAAGTTGAAATTAATTAATCCGCTTAATCCACTTTCATTTAAGTTATTAAAATTAATTTTTCTCTCAATTTAAAACCGTAATAATATTAAAAATATATGAAACAATAATTTAAATATTTAATATTATGAAGATGAATATTTTTATTTAAATTATTAATTGTCAAGTTCTATATCATAATATTATGCATTAGTGCATTACCGATACTATATAGGTATTTAATTACCTAATAACTAAAAATACAACATTAAAAATGGAAGTTATTTGAAACTATTTGAGCTTAGTGTAGCTTGAACGTTTAAATTGCTTACTCGTAAAATATGCTCTGATTAGAACGCAGTGAAAAAGTCATGAAGATATTTTATGTTTTTATAGATTAGAAAATGGAACATAACATTTAGTTTTCGATTTGTAATTTATTTTATACTAATATTCTCTAGGAGGAGTGGCGTGGTTAGGGGTTATACCCCTCCCCCTATTGTCTGATAAATCGCCTTATTTGTGACTCTGGAATTACCACCACAATTCATTTAAATATATTTGTAGTTAAAACATCTCCCTTTAAAATTCCTGGCTAAGCCACTGCCGAGAAGTAAGGACATAGGTGTTATACGTAATATTTAAGGGCATATTATCTATGACGCATCCATGCTATATTGGATAAACATAATATTTAATAATAGTTTGTAAAATAAATCATTACATAAATAATTGTTAAAAATCATTTGAACATTATAATATAATGTATCATATACATTATTCAACAATACATCGTTCTATGTACCTGTAGACTATAGCTATTATTTTATGTACCTACTTATTATTGATTTTCCATTATTATCATATTAAAGTTAACTATCAATATCTAACATGGATACATGATATGCTCGTTTTCATTATATATAAAGTTACCTACACATCTATATAATAAAGTTTAGTTTTCTAACTATACGATCTCGGGTGAAGTTCTTTAGATTGATTTAATATATGAACAGTATCAATAACTATATGACACTATATTATGTCTAAAAATAAAATTATTACACCAATAGATGTATTTACAGCCTATACCTATTGGATTTACGCCTATGGATAATGGACTGCGGTTTTTAAAAAGAAAAAAAATGTTGTTGAAATTATAATGTAGGGGCAGGTAACCTCAGTGTTGTGTACAAAGAAATCCCTTAAAATATTTATCTAAATAATTTATAAAAGATAACCGAATTTATCGGGATAAAAAACTGGTAATCTAAAACTTGCATTTGCAAAAATTTATAAATATTAAATAATAATTCGGGTTGGAGGCGATCGGTTCGTAAGTGTAATACTGCAGAGTGCAGAGAATTTGGTTTAAAAGTCTGTCGTATGCTGTCGTTTTGTAACCAATAATTGATATCAGAAATAAACAAATATATTTTAATATGTGATTAAAAATTGAAGGGTATTGTTTCCCTGATGTTAAAGATATGAACCAATGTTTAGCACTACCAAAGACACAACAATAAATAAAATATGTATAACATAATAAAATAGCTTATAGAATTAAGTACAAATTGAAAGGGTTTGACATTTCGAGGGATGTTTATGTAATAGATTAAATCAATTATTTTAAGTTGGTATAACCGCTATTCAAACCACCGAAAAATTTGTTTGTATCTGCTAGCAATTGGTTACTCGTAAGAAAAAAAAAATTACTCATTAGTCATAACTATCCGTCGATTAGTTCGATTTGACGATTTAGTTCTTTTACTTTTTTTTATTTTTATTTTATTTTTGACTTTTGAACTTTGATTTTTAAATAATTAATCTAACAAAGTTTGAAACATATAAGAGTTGGCATTTTTTACCGGAAACAAAGTTCAAGATCCTCATAATGTTAGCACTTTATATAATTGTGTATATAGCTGTATACTCATTAAAACTTAAAATTGTACTTTTGCATTTAATTTGAGATATTTTTGTGTACTCAGAAGTCAGAACAGTCAAACTTACAAACTGTTACAAAGATTATTTAATTAACCATATGAATAAAAATAACTATTAATTAATGTGGCATTATCATGTATACATTTGTCTTAAATATTAAATTGTACTCGCGGATTCCCATATAAACTCATATGAGTTATTTATTTATTAATAAGTGTAGAAATAAATAATTGTTCAAAACTCGTTACGTTAAAATAGTACAAAATAATGGTTGTGGGTGTACATTAAATAAATATGAAACAAATGAGAAATCAATGATTTACAAAAAAGCTTAAGTAAATAAGCGTCTTTCTACAATAATTTTTTCCGTAGTTAAGATTTTGATAAAAATCGTAAAAATCATGAAAATGTTGCAAAATATTTTGGGGTTTAAAAAAAATTTCTTTTTGAGAAATTCATAAAAAAATTTTGTTTTTTTAATTTGAGATTCAAAAATTTAATGCAAGATGAATTATAATTCTTACTGCTTTTAAAAAAAATCAGTATGTTCGTCGTTTCACTCAGAATCTACACTTGTCACTTGTACAATCGAGAACTGACACAAGACTTATCAACAGTCGCAAAACATTCTTCAAATCCATTTGTATACAAATGGTGATAAGTAATATGGCCGATGTATAGCAAAGATAACAAGTGCCTCACTATAAAATATTTAAATATGTGATCAATTGGAATTCAATATGATATATCATTGTATACGAAATACTATTCTGGCCGGAGATTATTGCGTGCGAGTGTCAGCCTTTCATATTATATTAATATTAGAATTAGAAATAATAGGTAGGTATATGATAGAATTCATTTTTGCAAAACAATATTGCAATTGCATACCTACCCGTTATTATAAAATTATCTGTGATGTTTTGATTAGTGGTAACTAAGTAACTTTATACATTGTAAACTACTATTTAATAACGACTGTACAAGAAACCTGTATTAAATTAAGATATTTAAAATTGATATAAACAAATTGAATAAAACATTTTCTTTTTTATATTATAAAAATTTTTTTTGTTGTTTTAACGAATTAGGTAGGTATGTCAAAATACTAATAGTGCATAATGCTTTTAAAAAATATTGCGATTTGTTGAAATTTTTAGGTATCAAGAGAAACTTATGAATAACCTTGTAATACATTTTATAACTTTTTTACCAACCGAATAAATGTTGACCGAGACTTTTAGAAATAATACTAAACATTTAATAGTTAAAAATTAAAAGATGAGTATAAAAATAAGCCATAAACTTGACAAATATTGTCATACACAGAAAATGCAAGTATAAACTTATTGGTGAAAGTCTCATGTATCTATTGTTATTAGTTTTTAAGTTAGGTATTCTAATGCCAAGTTGCATGAACAATTTAACGATTCAATAAAATATAATGGACCAATCATGGGCCACTAAATCACGTTTAATTAGGGACCATTAGGTAACTATCGATTCGTTAAATGTAAATAAGTGATTGTTCATGAAACCAGGCATAAAAAAACAATACAGGTATTGTCAAAAACTGGTTTATTAAATTGAAAATGTACGAATTATGTTAGTAACTAGTGGCTAGTAGTACTTAGGTGATCAAATTTATAAAACGTTCAATTTGTACAACGAAGAATTGAAAATTTAATACAAGGGGTTCCGCGTAAGTAGGTTGTTCTGTAACCAAAAAATTTAAAAATATATAAACACAGTTTTTATTTATAGTTCTTTTAAGTTGAATTTGAACAAAATTACATATTAAAACCAAGAATGATAACAATTTTAGTTATATTGTAGTTGTATTGGTCGTACACGATCTCGCAATTATTACACCTTTACTTTCATTCGTCCTGTGTCAAACGGCGCTTACTGTTGGACACAGACTCAAACTTGCGGTCGACTGCGGTATCGTATGGACGCTTGTAAATTAATGAAATTCATTAAAATCTACCACACACCCGAGCTGTTGTGCTTGACAATTATGCTTTTACAATACCTAAATAAAAATAAACAACGGATTACTTTTATAAGCTTCATCACTACTCTGTAGGTATATATTATGTATAATTTATTGCTTTATTAGTATGTATATTATATATAAATTAAATCCAAATATAGCCGATTGCAATAAAAATTAATATACGTAGACGGCGTGGTCTCAACAGAACAACTTATTGACACTTGACAGTCGTGACCAAATAATAATAAGTAATAATAGGTACCTATAATTTATTAATACTTAGTATTATTTGCCATCCAACTTCCCAAGTGGTATTATTATCAATTATAATTTAGTTACGAATATCGTGATTCGTGACCAGTAGGTACCTATAGGTGTATGGTTCTACTCATAAGACAAATGTATAAAAATTATTAAAACTGTTAAAGTTACTGTAGGTATTCAATTGTTTTATATCAAATTTAACTATAGTGTCATACAGTCAAGAAACTAATTGTTGAAGTTATTTTATATGGGGTGATCAATTTAACGTAAGACATTCATAATATTGTATTATTTTTATTTTTATGTTCTGAAGCAAAATATTTTTTGGGTATTTAGATTATATAAATCAAATTTTGAACGAGTAACTTATTTGTCAAACCTACCTAAATACTTTTAAGTTTATACTAGCGAAAATTGTAATTTTAAAGCTCAAATTTAACACAAGTATGGCACTTATACGCAAGCCCGGATTAAGACCTTCAGGGGTCCAGGGGCCAATACACGGTTGTGGGGCCCCCCATCAATAAAAACAATTCTTTAAAATTATACAAGTAGCCAAAGTAGGTATACAATAAAACAAATTTAAACCTTTTTATTTAAATATGAATAATATGATAATAATAATAATAAATGATAATATATGATAATTAATGAGAATACAAATATTAAAAACATAATTTTTTTTTAATACATATTTACAAATTAAACTAAGTATTGTTTAAGTAAAAGTTTTTTTTCTAGGTATTTGAGTAGCAAATATTTCTAATGTTTTATAGAAGCTTAAATTTTGAAGAACATCATTTTCTGTTGATAAAATCATTAATGATGACAAATTATCTTGTGTTTGAGAAGTTCTATTTTTATTTTTAATTCTGGCCAACTTCGAAAATGCTCTCTCAGCAGTACAATTAGCAACAGGGATGGTAAGATATATTCTTAAAGCAATATGAATGTTAGGGAAAATATTAATAACATTACATTCAGTCATTCATTCAAATATCTTGAGTAGGTACCTACATCACTTCCATCAAATGTTGGTTTTAACTGATCCCAAAACTGCTTGAAATGTACTATTTCATACTTTATTGAATCATCAACATCATCTTTATATACACTAATTAATTTGTTAACACTTTCCTCAACAACAATAGTAGACTCAACATGTAGTCTAGTTAAGAATAAAAAATTTTCAACCACTACACTATATGCATTTATTCTTTTGTCCTGTTCTGAGCAAAATGTATCAACTATAACATGATATGTTTCAACCTGAAATTTATCAATACCATTAAGTGCAGTTAAAGTTTTATTGTTACCATCAGGACATTTTTTTATAATTTTTCTTTTATTTTCATCTTTATATATTATGATACTTATTTGGGAGCAAAACTCTCCAACCCTACGTTCATAGACCATGTTTGAATCCCTTAACTGTCCCTAAACTATAAAGATTAAAGATAGTAGACAGTTTAGTCGGTAGGTATCTGAATTCTGAGTATCCACGATCGAGACGGTCACGTCATGAACAAATTTCCCAAATTATATTTTTAAATACAGTGATAACAAAATATATGCCTATTCCTTATACACACAAACCTAGCTATGACGCTATGTGTCCCCCACTTACCATTCTATAGGTGGTAAACACGATTTACGGGTCCCATCGCATGTTAGTTCAAACAAGAAAAAAATAAAAATATTCTTGTAGGTACTATAAAAAGTGAAAATTATCACTCGATGTAATTTTTAGCCGAGAAGACTATGGGCCCTTTATACACATGGGCCCTTTATACACATGGGCCCTTTATACACATGGGCCCCGGGGACTTGGCCCCCCCCCCCTTAATCCGGGCTTGCTTATACGTTAGTAATTACATTTTCTTAATATTTTAACAGAAATATAGAAATACTATGGAGATTACAATTTTTCAGTTTCATATTTTATACCATATTTTCCTTGTTTTTAGTGCACTTGGGACAAAAAGTTAAGAGAGAAAACCAACAAGATGGATACTGATGCAGTCTAGTTGGGTACAACCACCAGATAAAAAAAATTTGCACAATAATTACTAATTAGGTTATTAACTAATAGTTGATCAATTATCCCTAAAAAATGATGATTAAAGATTAATAGAGTACTAAAATTAATTTAATCAAAAAATAAAAACATTTGAACTAGGTTTGAATACAAAATAAAACTATGGTTAAGCCAACAAACTGACTGGACTGTGATAAGTTCTTAAAAGCTAAGTTTATTAACTGGGGAAATTTCATTTTCTAAAAAATATTGTAGCATATTGAAAATGGAAATTGATTTCCTAAATTACATTCTAAACATTCCTTATTTTATTTTTAAATACTAATCTATGAATAAGAAAATTTTCAATCACCTAAAGTATAGTTTAATAATTAATTATAATAAAACAAAAGCTATTTAGTTTAAAAAAATACAAAATTTGTTAGTTTTTTTAAAATGTTTTTTATTTATTTATTCGTGAGATGACAATGTAATTTAGCTTTATAAAAGAGTAAGTTTTTGTATATCAACCGTCAAAAGTAGCTGAAGTTAATTGTTATTAACAAGATGACTCTCTTTATCTAGGAATACGTGACCTTTATTGTCAATGGTCAACTGAAATTCTGAAAAAATATGATACAAGGTTACTCATTAGTTTTTCATATGCCATTTAAAAATTATCAAGTATACAATGCAACAATACATCTTTATTAGCGTTTAGAATTTAATACAAAATTCATCAAAATAGAGGAAAATTTTGCAAATTATATTATAGCAATACAATTTTAAGAAATTCATTTTTATTTCTATGATGTAAAAATGTTGATACAAGATTCCACATAAATTGTTCTTATAGCTGCATAAAAATTATAGATGCACAATTTGTCTTCGTGTTCATTTAATTTTCAATAAATTCTTTAAAATCATGAACCAGTGATTTTATAGAATAACCAAATCATGACATTTATACAATTATAGTAACTGTTATAGATCATCTACAAGACATAATTTCATATCAGAATAAAATAAAATATTACCAATTTAGTATGAAAGTAATTAATAATAATCAAATAATCATAATGGTGACGATATCCCTAATATTATTATAGTTAAACAAAAAAAAAAATTGGTAAGCCGGATACAATCGGTACTAAAAATACTCATATTTAGTCAAGGAATGCACAAAATGGCATTGAACTGTATGATAGAAAATAATTCATTCATTCATTCAACTTCTCAGAATGAAATAAAAAATATGTTTCTGTAAAAAATAGTAAAATGTTCAATATCATTTCAAAAATATAACCTAGGTTATAAAAATAAAAATTTTGTTTAAATTATTTAACAATTGAGTACCATAATATATTATATATACATATATTCTTATTTCAATTAGTATAAAATACATATTATAACAAACGCAAACAAAATAAAATAAAACATATGGTTTACAAATAATTTGTATTAGTTTAATTATTGCATTAATTTTTCTAATCATGATTAGCTAATACAACAATTTAATTAATAAAATATTTATGAATTTAATAATTTTACATATAATCATACAATATAATAAAGAAAAAAGTTGGTATATTTGTAAGAACTGCACAAAAGAAATAAAGCAATAATAATCATATTATTTGCACAAAAAAACACTACTAAATATAATTACATTTATAGAAGAAAAAAGGACACAATTTAAAAATATACATGTGAAAAATGAAGATATTATCCTAATAACTGATAATATTAACATAGGTTTAAAATACTATGCAGAATGTAGTTAATGACAGTCTAAAAGATCAGCTCCTTCAATGAAGCAATTTTGTGATTGACCAATTATGTCATCCAACATTGAATCCAAACCAGACCTCGTAGATATAACCCACTGTGTTTTAGCTTCACAGTCATTAAAATCATAAGTAGAAGTAAAATTTAAAAAATCATTTATTTTTAAATACACATCAGTTTTCTGACGAAGACAAATATAATTTGGATAGATATTACTATTGTTGAAAGACTTGAGACTTGGCAATAATTCACAATCACTTGATGTTGTAATAGAGTTTAAAATTCTATCGGATGAGTCAATTTGCCTGGATTTTTTTTGCATGGAACCAGAACAATTTTCAATGTTTCCATCAATAATACTGGGCAGACTATTTACTGGTTCACTATTTAGTTTAAAATCAAGGTCTTGCATATTATCATCAGTAAAGCTTATAGAAGCCAGCAATTCTTTTGTTAGGCGAATGGCTTTTTTTTGTACAACCAAATCATGTTCTTCTTTTAATGCGACATAAAGAACCTAAATCATAATTGTTATTTCAGTTATTTATATTACAAAATTGAAAATATTAAGTATCAATAACATATTGATTTCAATGCAAATTAAAAAAAAAAGTATTTAGTATACCAACTTACATGTAGGCAGCCTGTTCCACTTAATTTGACAAGATTGTCATTTAGTCTTTCAGTATTATTTTGTTTACAAGATTTTCCAATAAATTTATGAATAACAGAACTCCAAAATTCATAAGTAAATGTTTTTACTTCCCAAAGTGGATCTTTGATGCTAATGTGTACCATTACAATGCATATTTCGTTAAATAAATTATCACTGGAAATTAATAATATAAAAATAACATTATATGAATAGATATACAGTAGAATTCCAACTATCCGAACGCTAATCAACAAGACGAAAAAAAAATAAAGGTCTTTTAATAACTCGTAAATCATAATAGTATTTTGTCGTTCAGTTTTCTGTCAAATATTACAGTAAAATTATTTGTTTATTGTTACAAATTTCAAATTGTATTACATTCATATAAATTATAAATACATACAATATATTCTTGCAATTACAATATAACTTTTGACATGTCATATTATTCCAATCAACCAGATATTAGCTTATCCCGACCACCCTTGACATTAATTAGTCCGGATAATCGGAGTTCTACTGTACTAATTGCATACTACATAATAATTATTACTATTTTCATTTATAATAACAAATATATATATATTAATTGTATTCTAAATAAAATTAATTAATTATTTAAATTATTTAAAATAATTTATTAGTTTATGACAAACACTTGTCACCAGGTGCCCCAATTATATATTTATATGTATGAGGCCAGTCTGCAATTTTTTTTTACTTGAGACCATGATCAGTAACTTTTTCAGAGACATGTTATGATATGGGATAGGGCATATTATACCACAGCGTGAGTGGTACTAGTGTTCCCAACCACCCAATATACATATATTTAAAAGGAAAAAGTAATTTTAAATACATTAAATTAAATTAGTTAAATATCTTTATTCTATGTATATTTTTTGAAAAATATTTCAATTGTTTTTTTCAATTTTTCACCCAGAACTTGATTGTTTTAAACAGTAGCTATTAAACATTATAAATGTACATTGCAGTGAAATTGTCAAGATAAGGTAAGTGTATCTGCTTATAAAATCAAATTTCATGGAAATCAAACTAATGGTTTTTAAAATAACTTGTTCTTATAATTTAATCGTATAAGATATCCTATATTCATGTTGTATATTATAATTTATAAGTAATTAGTAATGGCAATAATATCAATATGCTTGAGTTTTGGGAAAACCATTATATTAGTAATCACATAATATTCTAAAATGAATGTAATTTACTATACAACTTTTCTGGGAGTAATAAAGATCAAAGCATAGGGGCCAAACATAAAATAGGCAAGGGGCCAGTCGGCGATTGCCAACCAGCCAACCAAGCCAGTCCTCCCTTGCTTGTCACCACGATACCGGCACTATGAATTGCATTTAAGATGCTTTTCATTTTACACCTGAACATAATATAGTTAACACTAAATTGTTTCTATTATATGGATATAACTGTTATAACTTATAAGATAACATACCTGAGCTCATTATAATCGAACAATGCTGTGATGAGTTTTACAATTTGTCGTCTAATGATACCTTCAGATTCATATTGCATTAAATTTAAACAATGTGTCTAAATTACATAAATAAACAATTATTACTTAGTCAAAAATAAATAATAAATTGTATTTGTAATGTACACTTACAATTAAATCTGATTCTTTTAATGATGTTTCCCAAATATCTAATACAGACACCATTTCTTCTAGACATTCAAGAGCTTTAGATCTTACAAATGGATCATTGTCATGTTTAAGAGTATTTATAACAGCTATTGACAAGCCTTTTTCCAAGATGAGTTTGATAAAAAAATGCCCTGATTAAAATTAAAATCAATTAAAGTATAATATACAAAACACCTATCGTAATATTGTTAGTTTAACTTACCAGAACTGTATTTAGAAGAATTTACAATGCTTCTAATACACTGTAAGCAGCTATCACGAATTTCTGGTCTAGTATCCAATAGTAAATTATGAAGTGTAGTACACAGTGTACCAAAATCTTCCAAATTATCAGTATATTGTGCACTTTCTTTGTTCATTTTATTTAATACAGTACTAATTAATTTCAAACCATTCTGTAAACACATATAAGTATAATAAAATATAATGTAATATAATATACAGTAGCAATTGTTCATAATGACATTCAAGGGACTAGTAAAATAAGTCATGATAACCAAAATGATAAAATAAAATTTAAAAACTTGATTATACATTAATTATATGTACATAATACTGTATCCAAATTCACATTTAATGTGTCATATTTTTATCATACAATTGTAACTTTAATAAATACAGAGAAAAAAAATAAAAAAATTGTTAGGTAAGTAAAAATGTACATTGTATTATAACAATCTTTTATCTTAGTTCAGACTTTTTTTATGTTAAAATCATTAAGTATTTTTTTTTCAATTTCTATAAAATGTGTTATTAGTATTTAATATTATTGGTTGTTATATTACCTTCGATAAAAGTTTAAAGCAGTCATTATAGGTCAAAGTTTTTTCCAATAAAACCAATAATAATAACTATCATAACATCAATGTAGTTATTATAGAGGCATTATAACTTATAATAATAGATAAAAATTAGTGCATACAATATAGCAGTTTTGCCGGGCATTCAATCTAAGGTCATTACATTGGTGTCATTATAAAAGGATTCTACTGTATAAACTATAAACATTATATGCATATTGATATTTTTAGTTAAATACCTTACCTGTAAGAGAGTAGAATTGAGAGAAGATTTTTGAAAAAACTGACTATGGCTCTGTACAAGTGGCACCAACATTTGGTTATGAGTTGCAATTTCAGTAAATAGTTGACAGTCTATTACTTTAGCCCAACATATAAATATGTATGATAATATTTCTAAGAATTTATTATAATTTGAATCTCGATCTTGACACTGTTCTAACCAATTGTCAGAATTTAGAAAATGTTCTGTTATTGTTGAAAAAAAATTGAATAGGTAATCCAATGACACCTGTAAAAATAACATAATAATACAAAAATATTACAGAAATAAAATACCCAAATTAAAATAAAAAACAATATTGATTGACATGGCAAATATCATGTACAATATTTTAATACACTAGCTGCCCGATCTTCCTCCGGAAGAAATTATTTTTTTATAATTTAATTTAAAACATAAGACTATATTTTGGCTACACAAATAATGCAACGGTTATAAAATAAAAAAAAAGAAACAGACATCGTTATCGGTGAATATATGAAAATAATTAGTAATTAGTTAATTATTATTATTATTATAATAAGGATTCAAAACCGGTTTCCTTTGTCTCCAAAATCAAGTTAGATTCTTATATATATATATATATATATGGATAAGAAATAATAGCAAAAAATATGGTGATGAATATTATACCGTTAGAGCAGCGTTTCCCAAAGTGTGTCAAGGGTTCCACCAGATGTATGTGATTATTGAGAAAATTATGTTCATTTAATGTTTGTTATATAAAAAATGTTTGATTGAAAATTTTTTTTTAAACTAAGTTTAATAATAAAAAGTCATTAACAGTATCATTAAAATATTATTTAGACTTGAGAGTTTAGAGAATTGATTTTCCTTTTTTTATTTAGAAAAATTGTAGTTGAGTTGGATTAGACATTAGGGTTCTGCAAAACACAAACAATTTTTTAAGGGTGTCGTGGTCGTAAAAGTTTGGGAACCGCTGCTTTAGAGGACCTAAATATGCCTTTTCCTTCCCACCTCAAATAAGCCCCTGATTCAAATTTAACTTTGGATTGCCCTCCCCACCACAAAAGTCTGAGCACGCCTATGTTAAGTATGTATACTATATGTATAAAAATAACTAAAATTACTTGTTTCAGTATTGGAACAATGTCTACAATATTGAGTATAGAAGAAATGGCCACTTCATATATCATAGAATCATAATTATTGCAATAATTTAAAATGTATTTTGCTTCAATAATACAACTTCTATCATATTTTGGTTTTTCGTATTCAGAACATTGAAGGCAGTCTGAACATTTGTTTAAAGGTATCAACTATTAACACAAATAATAAAATAAATAATATATTAATAGGCATATAATTTTTTTAAATATAATTTTTATTTACCTGACCAATAATTAATTCCTTTTCAAATATTGTGTTAGCTGCTAATTGTGCATTACTGGTGTTCACATATCTAATTGCTTGTGTATATAAGTTGTTAATTTGTTTATATGATTGAATGTTTTTTGGCGTATTCATAAGAGAAAATATCGATTTTAATATAAATTCCATGTCAGAATTATGCCAAACCGTAAAACAATCAAATATCAAATGTAACGTCATATAGTTTTTTAATAAGATTGGATTTACATTTAATAGTTTTTGAATATTCACTAATACATCTGATAAAGAATATTTTTTAATTATTTTATGGACAACATCCGATTCATACTTAGTTCCAATGAATTTTTCTAAAGATAAAATTAATGTTTTTACATAAACATTATAGGCAAAAAATTCTTTGATGTCTGGATGATTGACAATTAGATTATCAGTTGAATTTAAGTTATAAAATAGCTCTTTTAGGAGAGGTTCACAGTAATGCACCATTTCATGGTCAAATGACTTATAAATTAAGTCGGCAACATACTGACTAGCTTGAATTTCAACATATTTTGCTGGAACAGTTAATCCATGAATAGCAAAAAGTATAATTTTCCATAAACCTAAAAAAAGTAAGAATATTGTTAACTATATTTAATATTTATAGATAAACATACAAGACCAATATCGTGTACAGTAGGAACCTCAACCATTTTCCTTGACATTTTGTTCTGAGTTATTTTTAGTTTTACCTAACTGAATTAAGCATTGGTTATATTATGTTCACAATATACCTAGTATAATGTATGTCATCAACTAAGTAATAAAAGAACAGTGAAACCTGTATATAATGGACAGTCACATGTCCATCAAAAGTGTCTGTTATAGACAGGCTTTAGTATTTTTTTTAGTTAAATTCACAGACATAAATAGGTATTTAGTAAAAATATTTTATTTATATTAAAAAAGCTGATAAGAAATATTAATATGTACATATTACTAGGACTGAGAACTTTTAGTTTTTTTAAACTTATCTAGAAAGTTTGCAGAAAAATTGTGAATGATATATAAATATGTTTCATAACACAAAAAGGAAATATTGTTATATACGTCGTTATTGCATATAAATGCATATTTGAGTACATTAGACAAATTAAGAGCATATATAGGTACACATTTGGACAATTTTGTTGTTAAATAATATAGTATAACAAATAAAAATCTATGTAAAATATTATTTTCCGACTGTCTACAATCCACCTATATATATTAATATATTATTGGTTAGGTAATTCACTATCTAGCCAATACAATTGAGATGCATGTAGGGAGTAAACTTTAGTTGTCCATCATAATTTATTGCACAATAATCAACGTACATGATTATTGTGCAATAAATTTGTTTTATCATTTAATTAAAATTATATTTTTTTCAATATAGGTAAATATAATAATTTAGGTTAAATATTTGATACATTATTTGCTTTTTTAATACATACGTACACACATATTTTGAGGGGACTTTCAGTACCTATAGAAATCCTCAGTCTTACATATTACATATAGATACCAAGCAGTACACAAATACATGCATGTTATACACATTGCTAATTAAGTATACATTCAAAATTATAAATGTACACAGTTAAAAGTTATAGTTATCAGCAATATAAGAGTATGCAATCGGTTGGAATCTATGCTTTGAAATGTAACCATGAAGTAGCCAGTAAGGCTATTGTGTAGTATGTACATAGTTTTATAATTAAATTTGTGTCTGAACTAAAATTGTTGTCTGTTATTAAGGAATTGGGGAGACATAATACTGCCTATGTCTGAAATAGAAAAGTTCCCTCATAAAGAGGTTCAAACGTACATTGAAACACCTATCACTTTGCACGGACTTTATAGTTTTATCTGTTGGGAAAGATGTTTGTTATAAACATGTGTCTGTTGAGTCAGTTTAACTGTACTACGCTTCAAAGACTTACCTTCTTGGAAAACATACTCAAGACCCTGTTTATGAGTATTTAATGCCTGCAACAACGACATATAGGCGTTAAAAATTGAAGACTCTTTAAGATCAGACCCAACGTCTAGCTGATTAATCATTGATTGGAGAGTCTGAGTCTCAATGAGAGCTACCAGACGATCGTCATGTTTTACCAATATGGCCAAGTACTTGAGGGCAAAAGCATACAGATGTATACAAGCATTTTTAGACATTGGAGTTTGATTTCGATACATGGCCATAACACTGTCAAACCATTTGCAGTAAATGTCGATCGGTACTGTACTCAACAGAGCGTCTGAAAAATTAATATTGATTTGTATACTATCTCGCTCACTAGACCAAAATGCACTAATGCACTTACAAACGGTAAGCTACTTACCCGCATTCTGCAGACTTGTCAAAAGTTTTTCAAGTAGAGTTTTGTCTTGTATCGCGAAACCATCGACCAGCATGCAATCCAACGCAGTCAGAAGCCTTTCGACAGTTGGCGGGCGGTTCGACGACATGATCGAAGACCGAACCGTGCACGGGACGATGATGACAACTTAAATAAATAATATAGAACTGGAAACGTAGGTAGTAATATTATATTGATTGATATTATTATTGTAACAGTCGAACACTCGAACGGTCGAGCGCACAGAAACCAGAACAAAAACAAAATTTAAAAATTCAACATTATCAAAAAAACCGCCGTAACCGTGATAACGATAAGATATTTGGTGATAAACTGATAAACTGATAACAGAGAAAAATCTACGAATGGATCTTCGCAGGAAAAAATTATTTGTGTCCGTATATAATATTGCATACATTTATCCCCTTTTTTGCGGTTTTCAAAATATGATAACATTGATAAACCGATAACATCATTTTCATTATAAATTATAAATTATAATATAATATTTTATTATATTAATTATAATTAAAATAGTTAAATACATTAGTAGTTAATAAGTTATTAAAAAACACAATAACGTAATTTAAAATTTAAAAATACACAATTCATTGAGAATACAGTATAAATGTAAAAAATAATGTTATTAAAATAACATAACTATTCAACTAACATAATATTATTTTATAGATATTATAATAAAATTATTTTTATGTATGGTAATAATAATATTATTTAACAAATATAATAATCAAGCTATTATAATAAAGAAAGTATATTATTATAATTATTATGAATCTTGAACATAATTTAATACCCTTTGAATAGAAATCAGTATAGATGGTAGTATAGTATCTATACTTACAAACGAATCAAAACCTATATGCAAACTGAAGATATAAATACAATTAAAATAAAAAAAAATATTGAAAAACAACCTCGTTTCTTTACTAAAAATAAAAAAAAATAAACTCGAATTTCATCAATTGTCGTCGAGTGAAGGTAATATAATAAGAAAATCATTACTAAATAATACAAGTGTTATAAATGTTCATTCATATGACGATCATTCTTATAGCGCTAAAAGAAAATTAATATCTTAATACGATATTATTATTATTACAATTTACAGTAGGTACACAAATATTGTTATAAAAATAATGTTATTATAATAACGTAACTATCCAACTAACATAATATTTTTACATTATAAATTATAATTAAAATAGTTAAATACTTTAATAGTTAATAAATTTCATAATACACAATTCGAAAAAAAACATAATATTCTTTATTCACTTACGATCGTCATTTAAAAGATACAATTAAACAATATATTAATGAATTCATTTTCTTTTAGCGCTATAAGAATGATCGTCATATGAATGAACATTTAAAACACTTGTATTATTTAGTAAAGATTTTCTTATTATATTACCTTCACTCGACGACAATTGATGAAATTCAAGTTTATTTTTTTTTATTTTTAGTAAAGAAACGAGGTTGTTTTTCAATATTTTTTTTTATTTTAATTGTATTTATATCTTCAGTTTGCATATAGGTTTTGATTCGTTTGTAAGTATAGATACTATACTACCATCTATACTGATTTCTATTCAAAGGGTATTAAATTATGTTCAAGATTCATAATAATTATAATAATATACTTTCTTTATTATAATAGCTTGATTATTATATTTGTTAAATAATATTATTATTACCATACATAAAAAATAATTTTATTATAATATCTATAAAATAATATTATGTTAGTTGAATAGTTATGTTATTTTAATAACATTATTTTTTACATTTATATTGTATTCTCAATGAATTGTGTATTTTTAAATTTTAAATTACGATATTGTGTTTTTTAATAACTTATTAACTACTAATGTATTTAACTATTTTAATTATAATTAATATAATAAAATATTATATTATAATTTATAATTTATAATGAAAATGATGTTATCGGTTTATCAATGTTATCATATTTTGAAAACCGCAAAAAAGGGGATAAATGTATGCAATATTATATACGGACACAAATAATTTTTTCCTGCGAAGATCCATTCGTAAAAATCTAAATTGCTTTAAATTATTTAAAAATAAATATTTATAAGTCTATGCCCTATAGTTAGATAGATCTAAATTGAATAGAAAAATATAAATGCAATAAATAAAGCCAAGTTAAAGAAAAAAGTCCTAGATGAATAAAAAAAAAGCAAATTGAAACAAAAGCCAAGTTGAATAAAAAATCAGATATTATTTTCTTATTCATAATATTAAATTTTTTATTTAAATTGGCCTTTGTTTTAATTTGCCTTTATTATTCAACTTGGCTTTTTTTGTGCATTTTAGATTTTTAATTTAAATTAGATTTATTTATCTAAAAACCAATTTGCAAAATATTGATATTGATTCTAATTAATCAAACACAGTTGGGTGGCCAATTTCTCATACCTTATTGTTCAAACATGTTAAAAATAGTTTGGTTTTGACAATATAAAGAAAATTATGGGTAATGTGTTTGATAATTAATAATTATTTATAAATTATTATGTCTCTTTGAGGCACAACTTTAAAAAAGATCTATCATCGAAAACAATATCCAATACATTATTCACACCAAATACAACTCCTATGTAGGACTATTCTCCTTCTTTTATTTTTATTTTACTTCACTTATAAATTATAATTTAGTATTCAAATACTTCACTATATGGTGTGTCCAAATTCCATGCGAAAATCATTTTATAGATTTTCTTACGACAGAACAGTTTTGGGTAGTAAAAAAGCGATATCAAATATAATATGTTCAAAGAATTCATCTGATTTAAATTGTTCAGAGTGGTACATTTTTAAATACATATGCTGGGTGATCATCTATTTTACTTATTTTACTAAAAACCAGACTGTAACTTTCAAACTCAAAAATCTTTAGTAAAATCATCATCTCAAGAAAGATTTTATTTTTATTTTTTATTCAACTTGGTCCTTTTTTATTAAACTAGGCCTTTTTTCATTTAAGTTTGTTTTTATTTATTGAACTAATATTTTTCTATTCAATTAAAATTTTTTTTCAATCGAATGAAATATCTAAATTTAATAAAAAAATTTATATTGGTATAAAAAATCTTAAATGGATAAAAAGCTAAATTGAATAAACAAAGGATCCGTTTAATAAAAAAAGGCAGTTTAATAAAAAAAAAAACCTAGTTAAAGTCTCAGTAATAAAAAATCTATAAATTAGATTTTAGAATTTTTATTCAACATGGCCTTTTTCAATTTTTCATTTTTTTTTATTTGTTTTATATTTTCGATATGTGCTCTTCTATGCAGTTGTACGAATCAATTTAACTTAACTATTCAAAATGAACTCAATAAATATGATGGTCACTGTAACGTTGTTTATTATTAAATATGGAAGAATACTTTTTCAAAAAATGAGTGAGTAGGTAATCTTTTTATTAGAGGTACACTGTATACATCAGTAAGGTCGACTGTTGACTGTGCTTCGTCTTTGATCTAGTCACTGCAGTCTAAAATGAATCACGGAGGTGTTAAATTTGAATTCATTCATTGCTTACAAAAAAAAAACGATTCAGAGCTAAAGAGACAGACCAACCTATATTATTAAGTAGGTATACGTTTTATAATAAAATTGGTACCTACCTACTATTAGTTGGTAGTATACAATACATAGGTATATATACCTACTACCTACATAAAATATAGGTTAAATTATATTTTTAAGAAAACGTTGGGTGCATTTTATTTTAATATGAATTACTTTAGTATTATGTGTTTATAAAAAGAAATAAGTTCATATACTTAATATAATATAATATTTTATTGTACAATTTAATTTATATTCATCTTAAAATAATTAAACGACATATTTTAACTTTACTACATGTTAAAAATGTTCTTAACAAATGATACATAGTTATAATTGTTCTGAATACTATCTAAACAGAAGTTTTCAACTGTTGTATCGTAATTAACATCTGCAAAATAAATTAGTATTAAATTAGTCGAGTGTGTTCATTAAGCTTACTCTTCCCCAAACCCGTACATAACTCGATGTACACACTTATATATCGAGACATTTTCTGCTTATAAACCAGGAAAAATTGTGTTCAACACAAAACAATTTAACTGTAATTATGTAATATTTATATTATGAAAATATAAAAATTTTCTCTATTTTAAATGAAAAAAATATTATTTAAAACTTTCCAATTTTGATAAACCTTATCAATACTTTTTATAGACAGAAAAATATTATTATAAACATATTTAACATACGATTAGTCAATCCTCCGATGTATGTCAAATATTTTTCCAATAAATCTGTAAAAATAAATTACATTGTAACAGTTTCCTATAGTTATTGTTAGAAGTAAGTACCTAAGTAAGTAGGTTAGGTATTGTAAGCATTACTAAGTAGGGACGCCCGCATAGAAGTAGCTTACTAAGTGTAAAATATTTTTAGTGTCAATATAAGTCGAGGGGGCCGAGGGGGGTACTTGGGTTTGTACCACTTCAGCCCCCTTAATTAATTATCACTAAATTGTATTGATAAATTAGTTACATTCTTAGTGTTATATCCAAGTAGAACTCCGGAATTACAGAAAATGTATTTTTGTTTGTTGTAGTGCATACCTTTTTTTATAGTTCATAACTGCGCAGTCAATTTTAAAATTGTAATTGAAATTGTCAGCATTAAATTGGTAAATTTTTTTAAATTCCGTTCATTTTAGACGTTGTGGCGTCCGATACAAATCAATAATATTATATGGGTAAAGCTTAAATACCTACACTTAATTTTGCCACCGTCTACGAACTTCGCGGTGCCCCATCGCGAGTTGTCATAAATTAATATTATAATTATCACCATTATTGCGATCAATTATTATTATTGTTTCATCAAATAAACCGTGTTTTTATGGTTTATGATTTAGTTATATTATGAATGTTATGTAATTTCCCCCTATTATTATTTCAGTCCAAGTAACTTAATACAATATAATTATCTCCACTTTAACCAAGGCATGTAATTATTTTTCTTTCTTTGTTACTTGAACATACCCATAAATAAGGTACTGTCCGAGTTGCGGTCGCAATAGACGAATTGCGGTCGTAATAATATTGAAGGTAAAAGATACTGTCCGAGTTGCGGTCGTAATAATATTGAAGGTAAAAGGTACTGTCCGAGTTGCGGTTATCGATTATCCGGTTATCCGATAAGCTCTTATCCAAAATCCAAATTGCAGTCGAACATTATAACGTTTAGTTCATTGCAAGACGTCATATAAGCTTTAATTTTAAAAATGTCGCAAATTTCGAAAATGTATAGTGAAAAGGGAAAAATGTTACTTTTATTAAA